ACCTCATTAGAAATGAATTATCCCTCAATGAAAAGAAGTAAGAAAAATTGATTATGGCAATTTTTAATCTTGGTTGGACCAAGTAGATAAGACTTGATTATTGCTTGTGTTTCTTGAGTGATAAAATCCACCCGGTCCGATATCTTATGCAAACTAAGTTTTGTCTAGCTGTCTGAGTTACAAAGCTCTTGTCAGGAGTCTCCTTAATAAAGGCTTACAAGCATGTATTCATGGAAGGGATCATGGTGCAAAGAAAGTCAGTTTTACAGCTTGCCATTAGGGCAAGTTGTTGCTAGTGTGTACTAGCCCAAGAGTCTTCTTAACTAACCCAAAAGATTTTGTGATAAGTAACATTGATTACAGTTCTTCTGTAATTTCAATTTCTCAAAAAACTTCACTCGCCCTTCTGACAAGAACAGAATTCACCAGCCTGATTGCAAAATCCATTAGCCCCAGGCTAACAGACATGACTGTCTTTGCACACTGGGTATCAAATTCCATCTTATGATTAATGGCACCAAGTTATCAATGTTATGTGGGTGTCATATGCAGCTTATACTTCCTTATTCTTGTGTTTTTTTAACTGGGTAAGTGATCACTGATTGGCCCAGAGAACAATACTGTGTTCTCTTGCCTCAAGGGAATAATAACTATTATTAGTTTGAAATGATTCCTATAATAAGTTTGTAGTGTCATTGGTTTGTAAACTGATGCAGAATGACAGCTACATAACTGTTTTTTTTTTAAGTTTTGGAGATAAAACAGCTTTCATTTACAGTAAGATTATACATTCAATGGTTTAATCCTTTACAATAACGCAGAAACTGGATGAATCTTCGTGATGCAGATAATGGAAAAGTACTGTGGCAAGGAAGTGATGACCTGTAAGATTGCTTACTATAAAACTAACAATTTCTTGAACACTGGAATTAAAGGCAAATTTTTGATGGTGTCATGACCAGTCACATTGGAGATCTAAGACACATCAAAATTTGAACAACTTATAATGCTTGCAATTTAGTTATCTCACACCTGATATGCTTTTTCACTGTTACAAACACATTCCATTTTTATGGTAGTTTCTCGGTGGTGCAAACGGGTGCAATCACTAATGATACGAAAGATTGAAAAGACAGTGAAAATACCAACAAACACAAAAGCAAACCATCAATCTTTTTGCAACACAAAGAAATACCCAGTTTTATCTTCAGTGATTTTTGTTATCCCTGCATCCTGCGTCCTTTTTGCAACACCAAGAAATACCCAGTTTTATCTTCAGTGATTTTTGTTATCCCTGCATCCTGCATCCCTGACATATAAAAATCCTTAAAGATGCAAAATAATTAATGGCATGGGTCCCGTAGGACTTAAAGATCAATTGATCGGTCTGAACATGTGTATTTGAAGAAATATCAGGCCCGTTCGTGTAATTTCTGAAGCAGTTATTATGGCTGTTGTTTAACGATGCATATTTCTTTGAGTCTTTGTTTTCCTTTTAAATAGAAGGACTATATTATAATTTCAGTATACTGTAATACAGAGTTTTCAGATTAACTGTCTGGTTACATAAAGGCCCAAGCATTTTCAATTTTGGACTCTTTTTTAAACTGGGACTTCTTGGTTCTGGACTTGGACTCATGATTTTTTACAAGATGAGTCCCAGGACTCACCATAACTATTTGTAACAAAATCACTGTATCTTCGATGTTCATGGTTTGCCTAGTATTGCAGTAACTGACTGAAGAGACCCTTTCACATTGTTTTTATTTGAACTTTTAATAAAGAGCAGTAAGCGAATGTTCATCTGGTCCCAGTTGTTAAGAAGGTAGATCATGCTATTCACAAGATAAATCTCTATCCACTGGATAGTGCTATCCAACGTTTGAGCAACCCTGGCCAGCTCTATTGTATTGGGTAACTTACCAAGTTTAAAGCTGATAGTTCCGAAGAGAGAAAGATTCTGATCCACAAAGTTGTAAAATTTTACAGACGTTTGTATCCTGGGGCCACGACCTTGTCCCCCAGTGAGCAAACATCTGTAAGATTCTGCGACTTTGAAGAGCTATATCTTTGTTAGTTTTCAACAACTCACTTTAAAACTTGGCAGTCTTTCCAGCCATGTTGACAGATTTTCACTTAGTAACTGGTCCCAATCGAAAGTCGAAAAAACCATAAAAGGGTATATTAAATGGGTTAAATAAAGCATTATGCTTCACTGAGCATCAAATTCTACTTCCTCATTCTTTTGAGCTGCGATGCCACCGGCGCTTGTTTCCCATTCTTTATGTTGTCAGTTATACTTCACCTATTTACTCCCAGGAAGGTCCAAAGTCAAAATTTCAGCAGAATTCCCAAATTCAACTTTCTAGAATGCTGGAAATGAATTAGGGCCATGTGAAGGCACTGCTAAAGAGGTTTCAGTTGAATGGTCACGTAACAGGATAACATCCACAGACTCAAAAGTTCAAACAGCTTTCCAAGTCTCCACCATTCACTCTGAAACTAAAGGGATAATATCTCAACTATATAATCTTGTTTATTTGCAGGTCTGTCCCTGGGCAAGAACATGAAGGTATAATATTTTAGCATTAGGCAGTGTGAGACAGGGGTGTTGTTTTGTTTGTCGTGAGCAACAAACCTCTAAGTGCTACTAAGATGACTTCAATATTGTAACCTTTATTTTGAGGGTCGCTTTCTTTCCTCTGGTTTTGAGTGTGTGTGGTTGATCTAGTTGTTGCCAATCTCCAGGCTGCCATGGCTCACCTTCATAGTTCCTTTCTCTGATGTTCTAACAGATGCCTTTTGCCATGGTTATGAAAGGGCCATGTTTAAAGTGAGACATTGTTGTTTTCTTGTATATACATGCCTGTGGGTTCCTCACTTAAGTAGTTGCTGTTACTGATTCATTTACAGCAAGAGTGCCTAAAAAGATTCTCAAGTGTAAGGCTGTGTCAAGAGAGCTAAACTTCTCCTCCGAACAAGAAATGACAAAATTCAGATTGGAACAAAAAGTGATGTTTAAAGGAAAGTGTTTAGAAGGTAAGAGATAGTCATAATTCTTCAGTCATGATCAATGTGTGAAAAACATGCCTTAATTCAAGTGCCTGTACTCTACGTTCTTTTTTTCTTTCTTTCTTTTGTGTGAGGATTTTGCTGTTTTTTTTTCTTGTTCAACCCCTTGCGGTTAAGTTTGCGTAGCTATTGACAGTACATGTACTTAATAATACCATTTTTATTAAAAAAAGGGCCCTGAGAAAATACTTTATAGTTTTGTGATGCTAAAGGTAAGCGCCTTGTCATTTTCAGTGAAGACAGTTTTTTCAGAGAATAACTGGAACCACTTTCTACATAACTTGCCCACTGTGTGGAAACTGCTCAATGAAATGAATCCATGCAAACTCCTCCTACAATGCAGATTGGGCCCCTCCTCTAAAAAGTGAATTTTCTCATCTTGTGAGCCATGTTCAGACACAGCTCCTGAATGTCCTTTGTCCAGCCTAACTCTGACCCACTTTTCCAACTTAATCCCCCCCCCCCATGCACCATACTGTACTAGAAATATGTTATCGTAGAAATCTCACGAAGCTGTAAAGGGTCAGCAGTGAGGATAAAGGGAAAAAATATGAACAAAAAATTAAAACTAAACAGAAATAAAAATGTGCAAAGAAAACAAAAATAGCCACCTTGAGGTTTGAACTTACATCATGATTACCTCCTGCGCAAGAAGCTAACTCCCAAACCACTGGGCTGCACTACCGCTAAACAACTAATTGTGTAAAATTAACAGTCTTAAACCTTTTTTTCCTGCCCTACATGCTGTTTGAATCTTGTGGAGCTGTAATTTTATCATAAATTCAAAGATACGATTGAGAAAAATTAGCTCAAATGTGTATTTCTAAGCTATTTTGCATTATTTTGGTGTTAACCCATTCACCCCTGAGCCACCCGCTACTGTCCATGCGGATACACGTCCTTTCTACCACTTGTGACGTCATCAGTTTTAGTGGACAAGGACAACTTTGTGCGATAACTTGTGAAGAGTGAAGACATCTTTCAAACCATACCAGAATAAGCACAATTCAGTCAAGGACACCGGAGAAAAAGGCAAAAAAACCATGTAACATTGACCTGAAATTTCCATAAAAATCTTGTTCCACTACTCACCTACCTTTCCTTTCATCTAATCCTAAGATCCTAAAAGCTTTCCTAAAATTAACTTTTCCCACCAAAATGAAGCCTGCTAAATGTGCAGTAGGAGAAAAGAAAAATGAGGCAGGGAAAGCGAAAAAAGAGGGGAAGAGAGAAAGCAAAATTAAAAGATAAGACTGCTGTGCCACGTTTAAACCCAAAAAAACCAATTCGAATTTTTGCTTTCTGAGCATGCCTGAACTTCGCAAGCTAATATTTTGTATCTGGATCAGAAGTCTGTGAAGTGTACAACCTGTAAACGCCTTTGTAATAAGTTTTAGCTCTTTATAGCACAACAATGACCAGAAAACCGCTCGACTGGCTTCAAAATGCTTTTTTCGGCAAAGTCTCCAGGGGCGAGTGGGTTAATTCACTCCTAGGCTTGATGGCCAACTAAATCGATGTACAGCGCTGAGCCGAAACCGATTTGGTCGATCAGTGACATCGATTGGCTGGAAAAGAACCAATTCCTTGTGGGTTTGCCTCGGTGAAATGTGAATTCAAAGTTACACATTGTGTAGTTCCAGGAAATATCCAGACCCCCACCACTGAGGGAATTTCACTTAGGACCCCCCACCTCCCTGGATTTTCCATTTTTGCAGGGAACTGATGGCCCCCCCACCCCATTTGTGGAATTTCCACAAATGTGACAAAGACCCCCCAACCCCTATGGAAAAGTTCATTTTCACGAAGAAAGACTATTAAAGTAGAAGAATGAGGCCATTTATGGTTAGTACGCAACAGTTTCCATCAGAATCTTGGATGCTTCTGTTTCCATTTATTTGAGTGATCTTGCAACATTAAAGGGTCATTAAAACACACTACACCACCACAAAGTAACCTGATCAGCAATTTTGCTTATCTCTTGCTTTAAATGAAACGGATAAAGTATTGTGAATTTACCTTAATCAAGGCAAGCTTACGATTTGTTATTCATCTTCATGGGTGTAATGTTGATATAATTAACTCCATTTCGTGCGGGAATACAGAACAAATCAAACTTGCAACCACAAATTTAATGCAAAACCAAGAGAAGAATAAAAACTCTGAATTCTGGAATGATAACAATGAATACCTTCTCTACAACTTAAAGGGAAACCAAGTTCAATTTACTGCTTTTTGATCGACTGATGCGACGTGATGCGCGATGGCCTCATGAATGTTTGATGAAATCCACACCATTTCAGCGAGAATTCGATCATGAACATGCCACACCTTCAACCACAAAAGTAAGGGAAAATGAAAAGAAGAATAAAAACTCTACATTCTAAAACTGTTATAATGTATAGCTTGTGCTTCATGAAGTAAAATTGCCACTCTACTGTTCTTCAATCGATCGACTGACGCAACCTGATGTGTTGCACGTGTTGATGATTTGAGAAAGACTGGTAATGAGTAATGGCGGCCGAATATACGAGCATGCGGCAAAACGAGTTGTAGTCGGTCTAATTCCTTCAAAATTACATCCAAAACGCTTTTGGAAGAAAGGAAACCGGGTTAAGATCAAAAGGAACAATCTTAAGTGATATACTTCAAGTTATTCATGCCCTAAAAATGATCTACCAGGTCGGTACGAAGCAATGTTCGAACTCAGGTCGAAAACGAAATGATATTGACCCCCTGGAAAGTGATTTTATGGTCCAACCCCCCTCCCTTCTGGAATTTCCTGGGATTCTGACCCCCCTACCCCCCTGGAATTTCCAATTCCCTCCGTGGTGGGGGTCTGGATATTTTCTGGAACCACACATTTCAGGGAAAAGCAAGGTTTGATGGTAAAAAGCCAAACTGAAGCACACTTGCGAAAAGCAAAAATATCCAAAAACTGAAGACATATCACAAGCCGAAGACCGTCGTAAAATCATCTGTGAAGTGAGATACCGGCACTGGCAAATGTTTTTTTATGTTGATTTTCGGTGTTCTTGTAGCTACTAGTCCAAATTGCTTCATTGTTCTCTGGAAAATACTTGTTCTGTGGAAATTAATCTTACAGAAGCATTTCGTGATCGCCAAAGGGCTGCAAAAACAGTCAAAACAATGCCAACAAAGTGTTTTGCTTGATGACGTCATTAAATTGTGGTCACCCAAGTGATAATAGAAATATGGCCACATGAGATTGCAGGTCGCTATGATGCTCGCGTGATCTTCTTGCTGCATGCACAACAGAATTATATACTCGCTCTGCAGACCTGACAGCCCTTGTGTGTTATAAGAGACTATCAAAGTTACTGAAGTTTGGGGGGGTTGCACTTATGTAAAAGTGGATGCTTGATTAATTTTGTGACCTTGAAAGTGGGGGCATTTCAATGTACTCAACCCTCTTTTCATGAGTTGCTTTAGAGAGACCTCTCTTGCCCAGCACAAAGGGTTGAATGAACAATCAGAGGTCCTGTGACAAGGTATTGGCCTTACCTCACCTCTTCGTATTTTTTTATGGGGATGGGAGTCTAACTCATTGCCCAACCCCCTGGCGTTGCAGTTCATCTGGCCTTTCACCTAAAGCCGTCCCAACATAACATGGCTGAACCCACCAGGGACTAAGGTCCCAACTGGATATAGCTTCCAGGGCCATCAGGGCACACAAACCTCCCCACCATGTTAACCCTTTAATCCCTAAGAGTGATCAGCATTAAATTTCTCCTTGTAATATCAATGCTTTGTAGAACAGAGTGGTTATGAGAATTACAGACATGATCACACAAGATGAATTTTCTTGATATTTTATCAACTTCTCCCCACTACTTCATTAGGAAATGAATAGGAGGAACAAATGAGAATTCAAATTTTGATCTTAAGGTTTAAAGGGCTAAGGTGCAACACTCAGGGAGGGACAGCAGAACAAAATGTCAGGAACTGGCTACTTGAATCAACAATTTTCTTGTTGATGAAAAAATTATTGCTTTGATAGGTTTTTGTCACTATTTTTGCTACAGTAGAGTTCCATACACTGTATTGCAATTTTATTCTTTTTTTGAAATTGTTATTTTAATTCTTTTGTTCATAGAATGGTATTTTGATTTTGGATTTGTCATTCCTTCGTCTACAAACACTTGGCAGTCGCTTATAGAGGCAGCTCCTGAATCACAAATGATGCCAGCAAACGTTTTAAATCTGAAAAGACCATTTTACAATCTTGCAGTGAATGTTGGGAATTTGAAAATGAGTTTTACTTTCCATTTTAAACATTCTTTCTGTGAGACAAACATCCAGAAAATGTGGATACATTTTGGCAAATTGGGCAAGACTAAATAAACGCAATTAAGTTTGAAAGAGTGCAAATTCACTTTTCAATGGTGATATAATTTCCCTAATCATAACTATAACAAAATTCTCAAATCTGATTGGCTATCAACTGCCCTGATTTCAGCCTTGATAGGACAGTTTAATTGGACAGTATGCGCCATGCCTAAGTAATTGGATAGTATGCGCCATCATGCGCATGCTTAATGGCTTTTTTGTTCACTGCTAGCAAAAATCTTGGAATTTCTTGTGTTTTGATTTTAAAAAGAATTTATATATCGGACTCCTGCTCCCATTCGTTGTCTCATTTTGTTAAAACAAATTCCCGCTACACGGTTGTCTGATTTTGTTAAATCACTTGTATGATTACAAACCGAATTGGACTCCACTCAGTCCTGTTACCATTACTTATACCCTCTGGCATAAGCTCCCTATACCCATCTCTGCAGCTTCACCGTTTTGACCTCTTATTTAGTTGGGCCCAGACTTTTGATCAAGCAAATAGGGTAGCAGTCTGTTCCTAAAAAGCTATAGTATCAAAAGTAATTACTGTATTTCTTTGTTTCAGTGGCAATGTGGTAATTGAAACAAAATTCTTTGATGGGGACCTCCTTGTCAGTACATCAAGAGTGCGAGTTTACTATGTCTGACCATGTATACGTGACTCTTTCTACATAATAACTTAATCCATTGTCCCAGGTGTACAGTATTTTAAACAATGAAGATATTTAAATGAAGCCTAGACAGTTACCAGTAGTAATCTTTGATCTTTTTTTTTTTCACTCCAAATCTAAACACTAACAGGTTTTTAAAATTTGTAGATAGTTAATATGCTTCAAATGATCATAACATCAACCATTATCTGGGATCAAGATAGGTGTTGTTGCAGCTACAGTAGACCTTTTACTTAAAAGAGATTGAAGACAAACATTGTAGGTATAAATAAGCATTGTGCCCTGAAAACAGTTTAATCCAAAGTCCATTAATAAGCAAATATTGTTAAACCTCCTGTGGATGACAACCTATACTGCAAAACAGTCATTTTTTTTCTCAAAATCGGTTTAGTCTAGTGTAAGAGCCTTGCATGCGTGAAGGACTGTTTTGTAGACTTGTGACCACTCAATATGGGAAGACTTAGTGGTTGCTGACCGGAGATGATCGCTTACCTATGAAAAAAGTACCAACGGGAATGTCTTCCAAAAAGGTTTCTGGGCTTATCTACTTTATGGAAGATAATTTGTTGCATGCAAAAGATAATTCATTGTTGCATTTTGTATTGTTGCATTGCAATTTTGAGTAAAGGTAAATACAACAACAAACACCTATGGTTTCAGTTCCATGTTGTTACTTTCCAAACATGTCACTCATAGTAGCCAGGGGAAATCAAACAGTAGTGTAGTTCCATGTTGTTACTAAAACATGTCGTATACTCAAAGTAGTGTAGTACATACAGCAAACTGAAAGACCAGTGCCCGGTTCCTGAGAGGCCGTTTAGCGCTAATCCAGTATTAAAATTTTGTTGCGTTTCTGTTTTTTACCTTCCTATGCATTGCATAAAGTAACATTTTGTGTTATTATAGACATGACTGTATCGTGGAGTAAAGACTCAACACTCTTTTGTAAGCTTGAATTTCATGTTCTTAGACAAAAAAAACCTTGCTGAAAATTTGGCTTAATCCTGGGTTAAACTTAACCATTTTTCAAGGAACTGGGCTCAGGCCTTGCATCAAGCAGTTGCTTTAAAAAGATTGAATTTTGTGGTCATGATTTTGTATATTACATGCAGGTTGATTGCTACATACTTTCAAATCATGTACAAAAAAATCATTCAAGTTGTAATTGTAACTGTTTTTGTCACTAACTGATCCAGGTCAGTTAATAACCCCCCTTCAAAACACTTCTTATATCCCTTGTCAAAGGTATTTAAATGTTAGAACAAGAGCTGAGATTAATCTGCTTTGACACATTTTTTTTTTAATATTCTCTGGCTTTAAACCTTCATCAAGGTTCATAAAATCCATTAAATTGATAGTCACTCTCATATATTATTTGATAGTTTTGCATTTTGTGTTTTATAACTAAGGCCTGGTTCACATGAGCTGAATTGAATTTGCGGAGTTGATTCAGATGCCGTTCTTTATTCTAGGCAGATTAAATTCAAATGGGAAAATGCTAGCCTGAGAAAACAGACCACATTTAGGGACGTCACCAACGGTTTCCCCGCGAAATGACGTCCGAGAAACGAGCGCAGAAATTCCATACTGATGACGCATCATTGCCTAGATCTGGGTAGCGAATCTGATTGGTCGTGCCGCGTGTGAAATTTGGTTCAGCCAATCAGAAGCACTACCTAGATCTAGGTAGTGATGCGTCATCAGTATGAAATTTCTGCGCTTGTTTCGCGGGGAAACCGTTAGTTCCGTCTCAGGCTTGGGAAAAGCCTATTTCCCATTCTTTATTCCATCAAAGTAAAATCAAAACCATTTTACATGATCAAAATTAATGGATTTGGCTCAGCCCTTGTGAAGCTCACCGTACGACGTGGAATGATCCAGTATGATTTATTCACGTGCTGGAAGTTTGGACTTGCATGATCGCCAACTTCAACTACTTCAAGTTCGTTATGGAGAATTGATACCATTATCTTTGGTAAATGAAATAATTTAATTAAAGCCCTCCCTTCTCGATTAAACCATCCCTCTCTATTTAGTCCCCCCCTTCAAACGTGGGTGAAATAAATAGCCACACCCCCGAGTTTAATAGAGGATTTACGGCAATTTTAAAAAATCATATTCAAAAAAATGTTGTGGGTACAAAGGAGGAAGGAAATGAAAAATTTCTTATGATGAGGAGTGTTGATTTTGGTCGCGAGAAAACAAACCCAAGAATTCTCAAAGGAACCAAGGGAAGCAAGCTAGGGAACCAACAGCCAACTTGAACTCACGGCACATTGGTACACGGTGAGAGGCGATTGTCTTGCTCCCCTCAATTTCATCCCTAGAAAGGGCTTTTCCCAGCCTAGTCCCTAGGCGTTCGCTCTTGCCCCGTTGTCCGCGCGAGGAGTATCTCTCGGTGACGTCACAGCTCACCGTAGAGTCCAGGATTGACCAAGCCAAGAACGCCTAATGACTAGGCCGGGCTTTTCCAATGGTAACTGGTGTTTTCGTGTGAGAATAAAGGCAGAAAAGTAAAGACAAGCATTCATATCCTCTTTTATTGCAAAACAGCAAACAGTAGTGAGTGAAGCGAAGAGAAACAACTCTTTGTCCCTTGAGAGAACTCAACTTCTTTTACTACTACTTTTTCACTGACTAGGTTTTTTTTCCTTTTGGCTTAATTAGGCTTCCTATCATCTTAAATAAAACATAAAAAACTGCAACTCTGACTAAATTCTACTCTATATTAAGCAATCCATTATTCCTACTCTCGCAAATCCATGTTTTTGTTAAAGATTCTTTGCGAAAAAACTCTTAAATTGACTTAAAACAGTCAATAACACTAAGTAGCTTATTTTATTATTATTGTCATAAAGTACCACTTTGTATCTGTGATACGTTTTGGCTTGGCGCCAGTTAGTGCCAAAAAAAATGCAATAGCTTTCTTGTGTCAAATCTTGGTGGTGACGAAAGCAGATTTGCTATTTTAAATGCTAAAAAAGTAAAGGCAATAGCCGTTTTTATACTAGAGGACGCATCATCCGTCCAGACGGAGGATGCGTCTTTATGGCCGTTTTCACACTAGAGACGATTTACCCGCCTCAGACGGATAATCCACCTTCAAAATCTGTCAAAATTGACGGAAAAACAGATGGATAAAGTCAGGTGGGTTGTCCATTCAAAATTAAAACCGTTATATTTTTAAATTAAGACGTATTAATCTGTCTCACACGAACTATCTAACGGAGAATCCGTCTCTAGTGTGAATACGGCCAATGACAATCACGCTTCAGATATCACGTCCTTAAAAAATTTGGATCGTTAGTAGCTTGTCAGTAAAAAAATCAAATTATTTGTTTAAAATCAAAGAGGATTCACCCTAGAAAAGCACTATCAGGCCATGTCTTAACTATACCGCATACCTTAACGACGTGTCGACACACCAAAAAAACTATCCTATGACCAGCAACGGCCGAAACGGGAACGAGTCGTTTGGCCTCACTCTGAATACCTGCTCACACGGTACCAAAGTGTAGCACAGAACCTATCCGATATGTGACGCGCTCCACTTTGGAGATCGGCGCGTTGAAGCTTCTCGCCGTTACAGAAATCGCGCCTAAATCACGGTTCTCATGCGTGAACAGAAACCCTATCCGGTATGTTTTTCGTGCTGGCGCGGTAAAGTGTAAACATAAGCTAAGAAACTAAAAACTACGAAATGTAACCTTACGACTCAATTAATTACAGGATTTACAAAGAAACTAGACATCGTGTTCTCTTAAATGAGTGTCTCGTGAAAATTAACTACCGTACATCATAAATGGCTTCTGTAAGCTCAATTTAAAGAATAATTCACATCTTTCATATGTTCTTTTCTTTTCTTTCAGCAACGATTCATCATTCCGTTATTACTAATCATTCCCGGATTATTATTACTTTCTAATAAATTTAGCGACATCACCGGCCCCTTGTGGCAGTCCAGACGTGAGAATAGGTGGACCTTGTCAGTCAAAACAACACTAAGATCTTCTGATTTTTGGAATGGGTTTTAGTTCCCACGATGACTTCACGCAGCCTGTGCGTTTTAGGCCACGTGGTACCAACGCGGTTCTCAAAAAGCGTTGACCGAGAAGGCCTGGGAAGACGCCGTACAGAACTACGCAACTCTGACCCACAATGTTAACTTTGACACTTCACAATTTTCAACTAGTAATGTGCTTTTTCTTTCCTTCTTTTTTTGAACCTGAGAGAGAACTGCAGCTTCAGGTTTTCACTGTCATGATAACGAAACAAATTATACCTATTCTTTTTACAGAAGCGTGTCTTACAAAAGCTAAAAATGTTTCAGGCGTAATAACACCACAATTCATGCTTCGTGGAAACGACGACGAATTCAATTCGTCGGTTGCCAGGACTCCTGCAGGGCAAGTTTTGGTTGACAAGGAGAAATAACGTTCACCTCTTTTTTAATCTTCACCACTAGCATTCTGTGAGGAGAATCGTTAAGGAAAAGTGCTAGAAACCTTCAATGCTAGCATCCCCTGAGGAAAACCATTAATACATTGCGAACAGTGACTCGTACCCAATCGTTTTCGCGTGACGCGCGCGCAAGGGGGGGGGAGTGATGTCACACCCCGAGGGCCACTAAGGAGAGGTCGTGAAATAATCTTGAACCCAGATCTCTTCGGCTTCGTCAACAAGAGATCGGGGTACGAGATTAGTTATGAAAGACGACTGGGAACGAGTCAAGCTAAAAATGCTTTAAAAGTTCCCTTTCTCACTGCTGCTTACATTCTTTCTCCTTCTCTTTCTTCTTCTTATCAGAGTTCCGTCTGCGTTGAGGTTGTATCAGAGCAACTGGCTTGGGTTTTGATTCTGGATTTCCCAGAGTCGACGGAGGGCTTGCTTCATTATTATTCTGTGTTTTCCTGTTAAATGTCGGATCTATCAATTCAGCAATGTTACAATCAGTTCCATTTCTTAAGCTACCGCTATTTTGCAACTCCGTGACTAAATAGTTTGAAGGCGAAGAGCTGGCCACTGTTGTACGTCTTTCCACAATCCTTTGATGCCTTGAATGTCGTGGAATGTCATCACCTTCTTCATAAAGCCTTTCCCACACAGCTTCTCTCGTATCTGGAGAAGTTGGCGATTGGACAGGCCGTATGTTAGAGGCGGAATGCGATGAACTGGTTGATGATCTGTGAGAATTCTGCCTAATATATCCTTCTGTCCTTTCAAGCGAGCCATCCAGGGATGACAGCGGCGAGTGGTTAGGTGACTCTGATAGTCGGTAATCTTGTTGATGCCGCAGTGACTCTCTTTCAAGTGATGCACTCGTTGACGACTGAGAGCCATAGGAGCTTGCTTGTGATATTCGCTTCGTCGCCTTGTCTCGCCGCTCAAACGAACCATCCGGTTGAGTGTTCATGTCTCGTCTAGGGCTGGGTTGTTTCTGATGAAGAGAGTCGTCTTGCAGAAGATCAGGGATTGGTTCTCTCTGGACTGCCTCGTCATACGATGGTAGTCTCTGATGTGACTATAAAAAAAAATCAATCAAACCGGGAATGGTGATTTAAAATGACGAAAGTAGAGATTATAACAAGCACTGAATGGCAATTTGAATTGACCAGTTATGGGTGCAAAGATCAGACATTGCTAACTGAGCATCCCCGGAAACAGGATGACAGGGTAGATTATTGACGAAAACAATTGGACACGTACAGTCAAACTCAACTTTGGAGACACCCGTTTAAAAGGGACACTTCGTTGTAATGGACAGTTTTCTTTGTCCCTGGCGAAAACCGTAAGTTTGTCTCTAAATTCAACCCCCTTAATACGGGCACCCGTTAAAGCGGACAACAGACACTTTTTTCAAGTCCCGTCAACAAATTCTCATAGGTAGCGTCAATAATACGGACATTGCTCCATCAACTGTCCTGTAAAAAACTTTTAGGGGACACAGCATATTGACGTTAACAACGCTAACTAGGAAGAATACTAGTCAAGTCAATAACCCATTTGCACGATTACGGGTTTTACTACTAACACAAGAATTCATTTCGTTTTTCTTTTCATAATTTAAATTTGGTAATCCCAGTGAGGTTTAAATAACAAAAGCCCAAATTTGCAAAAGAAAACAAAACCCTGGAGGATTCTGGTAGCAAGAGTAAAATGCGGCTACCGTGCAAACGGCCCACTAGACGAAGACACACTGATTCTCTTTTCTCGCGGAAAATCCTTTGCTTCGGGTTTTTTTTAACTGTACGCGTTATAAGTTTGCTATGGGACATCCATGGAAACGAAAAAGTTTCAATAAGAAAAAGAGGTTATGGAATTTCCCGCACAAAAGGCGGAAAGCACGCAACGAGCATCGCGGGAAACAAACTTGAGTGTGAGCAAGCGTGAACTCTTTTACCTCAAAACACTACGATGGATATACTGCGAGACATTGCTTCTCTCACGGTATGTATAACTACGACTAAAACTCAGTTAAAGCATTACTAAAACCATTACTTGCAAAATGTCAACACTTGTTCAGTGCAGCCTGTCTCACCTGAAGTTCTCCTGTGCTTCCGCCAGCAGTACTCTCAGCGGGAACTGTTTGAGCTCTTCTCAGCTGTCTTTCTCTCTTGAGCTTCTGTAATCGAACGTACTCTCTTCTTTGTAACTCTCTTGCGAATTCCTGTAATTATAACATTTAGCACTATGTTAAGTATAATTGTTGACTCAGCCAAACGTTCCCTTAAGAACCGTTTAATTCCAAAGAATGGCATGAAAGCGCTGCTAAAGAGATTTCACTTGGATGGTCACATTTAACATGATAAGAAACACAGGAATGTAATACTCATTAGCTTTTCATTGAAATCACACTATTTATTACATCCAATGACTTTCCAGTTACCAATACGTCATATAGGAAAGTACTGTTTATTAGCTTTCATTTATCTGAATGGTCAAGCATTTTGGGGTTTCCTTCAAGTGTTATCTTCACTTTATCTGTCTTACCCATTTTGCCCCGGCCGTAACCGGCCGTAACCGCCCGTGCGGATCCACATTTCTTCTAACGCTTGTGACGTCATCATTTTTAACGGTCAAGGAAAACTTTGTCAACTAACTTGTGCAAGATGAAGAGATCTTTCAAACCATACCAGAATGAGTACGATTCGGTCAAAAAACCCTGCAACGTTGACCCGAAAATTCCAATGAAAATCTCATTCCACTACCCCCCTACTACCCCCTACCTTTCCTTTCACCTAAAAGCTTTCCTCAAAAACTTTTGCTAGCGAAATGAAGCCAACAAAATACCCAGCAAAAGGAAAAAAAAAGAAGGGAAGAAAAGCGAAAAAAGAGGGGAGGAGAGAAAGCGAAAAAAAAAAGAAAAAACTGCTGTGTCGCTTTTAAACCCCAAATTTTCTTGAACTTTTGCTTTCTGCGAAGGCCCGAACTTCGCAAGCTAATATGTTGCATCTGGATCAGAAGGCCGCCATAGACTGACCCTGACCGTGAGGAGTCTGAGAACAAAAAAAGGAGAAATATCACTCCCCGTTCTCTCCCCATTCTCCCACTCGTTCTCTAAAACAGGACAGTGAAGCCAGCGGAGGAGGCTTACGCTGCCATGTGTACGACCTGGAAACGCTTTTGTGGTAAGTTTTAGCTCTTTATAGTTGGACAGAGGCTACAAAACGACACCACTAGCTTAAAAAGCGTTTTCTCCTTGGAGCGAATGGGCTCAGGCGTTTTAGGACTAACAGAATTTTGGATTTCTTTAAGCAATCTGTTTATTCTTACCCTGTCCTGATATTCTAACGCCACTCTTCTATCATTTGCGGCCTGCCGGTCTTGTTCTAACATCTAAAGAAAAAAGAAATCGAAGATTGAAGATCTCTGGAACAAATATGCAGGATTATTTTCACTTTGCAATGTTTCAACATTATTGCTGGTTTGCACGTGACGTCACGGCCGCCATGTTGGTGGGCAAACTAAATTCTATTTTCATCTAAATTCTTCGAGAAAAAATACTATTGTATTGACCCCTCACATGGCCGCCTTGTCACTTAGTTGCAAACCAAGAATTATTATCTAGCGTTATAGATCAATGGTTCAGAGAGAAAACACTGCGATTAGGTGATGAAAACCGCCCAAAACATTTGGTCAACCCTTAACCCTATAAGTCCTAAAATCCACATACAACTACTCCGGACTCGTCTCCATACAGAAACGAGTAGGGAACTGGAGCTGAAATGCGTCGCGCAATGGTCTCTGGGATCGTTACTGGGCACGCGCCGGTCAGCTATTGGCCAATTTCTTTTTAAACCCAGAAGTCTTTGCGAAAGTTAACCAAGTCCATTTTTTCTTCTCGCGTTTTAAGTTTTAAAGAATTGGTTGGGAGAATTTGTTTTTAAAAAGATAAAAGCATTTTCACTTGGACGATCAATGTATTACTTCTCATAAACAATTTTCTCTTATGATGTAAAGGTGCTATCAGAGGATAAAACTGATGTTGATTACTCTTAAGACTTCAAAGTGACCACTAATACTAGCATGCAAACTCTGTACACTGTTCTCTGCACATTTTCTATGGTATTGCTGATTATTTCTCTCTTTTCTTATGACCCTTAAGCCTGATTGTGCAGTGTCACTTTAAAGAGAAATTGAATTTTGATCACCCTTAGCACACATTACCTTTTTTTCCTCTTCCTGCAACTTTCTTGCAAATTCCTAATGACAGAAACGACTATTTTGAAACACTTAATTTAACAGAAAATTGATAACAGTACAGTACATGCAGGATTTCAAGTTGCCGGGTAAATACAACAAGTAGGCAGGGAATCAAACAGCTAGGGATTTTTTTTGGTTAAAATTATTTTTCTTCTATTTTCCTATAAAAGTAGCTGGGAGCCTTGTTCATAGTAGCCGGGGGAAATCCCCGGTCCCCGCCTCTTAATGACAGCCCTGTACATGGCATGAATGGGACTCAAATTCTCCTTGCCTGGGGCTGCTACATCCTCTTCTAAGTTTATGATTTACAGGGCTCGAAAAAAACTTGAATTCCAACTTTCACATTTTGCTTGCCCCAGGCCACTTCTTGTTTGTCTTACTGAATGATTTTGTAAGAGGACGATATACCTAGACCCTGAGCTTTAAAAGTTACTTTCCCAGCAAGAAAATCCACCTGTCCCGGACTACCAGACGGGACTTTTTTCAAGCCCTAATTTAATTTAGAGACAATTTCCTTGAACTTTGCACAATTGGGCTAAGCAAGCAAGAAAAATTACTAGCGTAACAGGAAAAATACTTGTCTCACATCACTACACAAGTCCTGGAAACTAACTCAAAAATGGGGTAATCCTCGGTGTAAAAACCTTTGAGGTTTTTCTTTGCTCTCTAGCTATTATTTTCCTTGGCTCGATTGTGTTGACTTCTCACTGGCATCTTTGTATTCATTGTTTAATGTCACTAGTGAGTTTCACAGGTTTTTACACCGAGGATGAGCCCAAAAATGGGTGTCACCAGTATGTAGATTTTTGACTGTTAACTGCTGGGAAAATCATATAAGCAATATTTTGGAGTTGAAGCGGTGTGAATTTTTAGTGAAAAACATCACTTGCACTTTTTTCAGTTGGCATGGCCACTCAATAATAATAATATTATTATTAATTTAAGTAATTTACAGATTTTTACATGGTCAATTACAAACCTCATCCTGCTTTTCTCGTGACCTTTTGTGTGCCTTCTCGCGCACCTCCACATCATCATTTTCATCAAACAGATCAATTGCTGTTCCATCGGCCATTATTATCCTGTCAGATTCCAATCTTCCTCCTTCAGCTGGTGGGGGAAGTTGTACCACAGCCGCTCCATCTCCCTGATAATAGCCATTCTCAGAGCCTCTACTACTGTTGCTTCCTTTTCCCGTCAGTTTTGGATGAGGTCGCACGTCTTCTTTTACAGGGGGACTATTTCTTGCTGCTAACGGAGCAGAAGGTGGAGGTTATTAGTAATACATTTTTTTTATATAACCCTTTCACTGCCAAATTTAGCCAAAAACAAATTTTGACCAACTTTCCAAATTTCATTTTGTGAATTTATTTTTGAAAAAACAAATGTCACTATATGAAAGTACAGGTAGAGAGATTTCATTTGAATAGCCACATCATAGGATTTCGTCCACAGACTCAAAAGTTTTGAGTCACCTTACATTTCTCCATCAAGTACTCTGGCAGTGAAAGAGACAAACTGTAAAGCTAAGATAACACTATCACAAACCAAATAGTTTTAACAAGTACAGCTGTATTACCAGGGTTGTCACTAAGATTTCAAGTAACTGCTGGGTAAATACAACAAGTAGGCATGGAATCAAACAGCTAAGGGTTTGTTTTGGTTCTATTTTTCTTCTATTTTCATTTGAAAGTAGCCAGGGGCCATGTCCATAGTAACCCGGGGGAATCCCTGGCCCTCGCCTCTTAATGACTGCCCTGTATTACCATTGCTGCTACTCCACAACATACACTACTTCTGTATGAATAGTTCCACCACAAGCTTGAAACTACATGTACAAATCGTGACTAGAAGAGTTGGGAAGGCTACTACTTTCATCTCTTTTTTTTCTTTTTCCAAACCCCCTGGCCCAATTTTGTACAAAACTGAAGTGACTGCCTGACCTGTTTGTGTTTCAGGAGGGTCATAATGATTCACATGGTTTTCGCCATTTGTTGTTAAATGTGAAATAGCATCATTGAGCATTGTATTCTCTTGCTCTTCCTGTCGTTGTCGTTCCAACCGCCTTTGCCTTGCACGCTCCAGTTTTAAGGCTTCCTTTTCTTGCATCTGTCTTGCAATTGCCTAAATAACAACAAATACAATACAATAAACCATCATGGTGATCATTTACCGGTAATCACCCACTTTTTGGAACTAGTTCTACTCAGAATTAATGTAAAGAGATCACAGAAACTTGGGCAGCTTGTTCCAGGTGCTCAGATATTGTGGGCAGCACAAAAAAGAGCACAGAGTGGTGGGGGGAGGTTGAAGTTTTGGAGGGTAAGAGAATGCCTGAAGTATTTCAAACCTCCAAAGAATGGAGTACTGTACAAAAGAATAACTTAAGGTCTAGGGCACATACATGTACATGTTGTAGTTAATTTTTTATCTCGGTTAATTTTTATTTTTCCATTGTTTTGGAGTATGGTAATGTAGGGTAATGAAATTGAAACAAAGGAAAAACAAAAATTAACTAAAATAGAAAATATACACCAAGGTCAAGGTATGTTGTTGAAAACTCACAGTTCAGCTCTGCGCCCTCTCCTCAAACACTAATAGTTTTAAATGTGAGAGTCCTCCCCACAAAAATTTAAAATGACTTTGCACCATTCCAGGTATGGATATTTCTTAGATCCTATAATCTTGGACAGAATAAAATGGCATAGCAAACCCCCCATACCCTTGAAATCAAGAGTGAAGAGGGCAAAAGCCTAAATGCATCATTTTTCCATCCTTGATTTTGGAAGGGGAGAGGGGGATCTAAATTTTCACTCCACTTTGTCCACGATTACAGTACATGTACAATGTATTTCTACCCAGGAAGTCATCTAATATTTGAAGGGGTGCCTGAAAAAGGCGTTAAGTAACTCGATCATGCAACAAATTCTCCCTTGTTTCCAAAAAAAAAAACATAAGGTAATTTGAAAGGGAAATCTAGTACTTCAATCACAAGTGTCTTGGGATTTTTGCCACGCACTCCTTCCTTTTTTACAAGTTATGAACGGTGCTACGATAGCTAAAAGGAATCATAGGTTCACAGACAAACTTATACGCAGAGCTAATGACCTTACGTTTAAGTACAGCTTTATTTATATCTAACAGCAATACTAAATTCTTACTAGCAATACTCTTAATAGAAAGCTGCCTACTTTTCAAATTTTACCATTTCAGAGGCTGTTTCGACTACATGGATAAGCGGCTGATGATACCCTTGCAATAATAGAAGAGTGCTGAGTTTTATTACTTAATAATTTTTCTTTATTGTAGCTATAGGCCGGCTTATATTATATGCATGTTTACATCCACAGCAGACAACAGAGTCAAATAAATAATATGTTCTACTTGGCATACCTCATCTCTAGTTTCAGCGTTCCTTCTTCTTCTCTCACACTCTATTTCCTGTAGAGACAAGTAAACTGTTAAATTTTCATGGAATTGAGATGTCTAGCTTATAAACTACATCTGCCCTAGAACTATGATCTTTAAAGTTTGCATTATGGATTGAAACAACAAAAACCAAACAATCACAAAGATATTTAATATTTTTCTGAATCCATTTTGCACCTTACATACAGTTGTACATTCATTTTAGCATGTGAACTTCAATTTATGCTGAAATAATCTCACACCTCCTTGAATGTCACCTAATTATGTTTGCATACACTGTTTTAGTCACGGAGATCATTGCTCATCCTTTCACGCTTACCGGTGAACAACACCCCTTGATTACTCTACATTCAGAATGTACTTGCTCAGACACATACCTGAATGTCTGAGTTTTAAGAAATTAAATAACCTAATTATATAGAATGTTCCATAGTCCTTACCTCATTTTGCAGTTTATGTTGAAGATCTATGGCTAGCCAGTGTTCTGTTCTTTCCCTGAGATCAAGATACAGTGTACATAATTTAACATACACAGTCATGCAAACTTAAATTATAATTTTATAGTCACTGCCTTTGCAAAACACAAACAAAACTCCTCTGACATATGCCCAGTTTTAAGTAAGATGAAGGAAAAATCATAATATTTTTAAGTTTCTAACCAGTTTGGGTTTGGCCTGCAGAAACAAACGAGAGACTTCACTTTCATTTTGAGCAATGATACGCGTCTGGTCAAGCAATGAAGCTTAACATGTGCGTGATATTTCAGTTTTCTTATAATATTGTCGGAATTCAGTGATATTGCATAATTAAGTCAAACATGTTTTACATAGTTAATAATTCTCGTCTTCTAATAGCAAACTGTCTGCAAATAAATCTGCTCACAAGTTGTACAAATTTTGTTCGCTACTTAATAATATCCACTATCTGAATATGATTCTTTCTTCTTTAACTGAATAAGATATAATGTATGTAAAATCAGTCAGAAAAGTAGTTAAAACATCTTATGTTTAATTCAGAAACACTGACATTTTATGGCCCTGTAACACAATGATGATGTCAAGTATGAGGGCATGCTAAAAATAGAGAGTTTCTGTAAGAATAAAACAGATCCAAGCTATAAAAAAATAACAACTTGTTTCACTCTCCTCAAGGAAAAAATTTTCAAATTAAGCCACTGTGACTTGCTGTAACATGTTAATAATTTAGTGCACGTTTTCGTGCAAGATCATATATATATAATTGACATTTGTGTATACAAGGAAGTCTAATATCACTAATTGCTGACACCTAAATATCAAATACTATTTAATATCTGCTGAAGAGAGCTTGAAACCAAGATAACCTTTCTTTCTCAGACCTCAATACTTGCAGGAAGTCACAAGAAATGATTGTCGATTGGTTATTATGTTCAGAAGTGAAATATCCCTTACTCACAGTAATTACTATTCCTTTTTGCCACGTTTTCATCAGCTATGTCAAGAAATTCATTTTTCTCTGCCCTCTAAACTGAAGTTTAAATTTCTCCCAATAAACAGTATTTTATGGCCAATACTGATTGTTGACCTATGATAAAGTTACTTTTCCCTGACTATCACAAATAAATTTTTAAGGTAAAAGGCTAACAGCAAGAGAACACCAGAAATATTTCTGGAATGTCATTGCACAGTTGGTGAGGAAAAAGCCAATCAGATGTGAGATAACTAATCCATGACTAGTATCTTAACTCATAATGGTTTTCAATCAAACAAGTTAAACTTTGAAATTGCACAATAAATTAAAGACGGAACCTCTGTTTAAGCATATTGCCAAATTTCCTCAGTCTATGAAGTCACAGTGACCTCAAAAAATTGATCCCAATTCCTGATAGCAGATATTGTTCCCTGCCTCAATTGACAGACGACAGTAGTTGTAGTCATTGTATTCACCGGAAATAGACTATTACACTGCGGTACTTTATGGTTTTATGGTTTTGTGCTTTTGCTCATGAGTCTAGATCTCCACTGTACTGTCAATCAAACAATAGTTAAACCCCAATTTTACAGTTTTCTTACTTTATGCTTGAAACTGTCAGGTGCCGATCAAGCAATGCAACCAAGGGAAACATTGATGACTTCCTTTGTTATACATTAGAACTGAAGAAAACACAGTCAAACCCAATGTAAGGACACACACTTAATATGGAGACGAAATTTTTATGGACAGTTTGCTTTTTCCCTAGGGAAAGAAAGCCCTTACATTTCCTCTAAATTTGACCCTCGGACACCCCATTAATACAGAGACTTTCTATGGCCCCTCAGTGTCCGTATTAACAGGATTTGACTGTAGAGTTATTTGTGTCTCGCCTGATTAGTTTCCATTTTTTAATATACATGGAATAATTTTTGAAAAACAGTCACTCTTACATAATAACACAATTTGACTGCATACAACTAGTTGAAAAAAATGTCAAACCATAAAAATGCCTCAAATCAGTCGGTTCGTTTTGAAGGCAAAAGAATTTGCATGAAACTGTTTGAATCCATGATTAACGCCTTTGTTCAATGCACAGCTAGTCTAAAAAATACACCAATGATACATATTAGTTCAACTCACATGTTGTGTACCATATCTTCGGGAAGGATTTGAGAATGCTTTACTTCTTCTAAATATGTAATCTTTGCAGCTTTAACATCCTCACGAACAGTTTTTCTTTCACTCCGGTTTCTGATGTAGTGATTGCCAACTACAAAATTAAAACAACCACACAGACAAACATTAAGAAAAGTTACCTAAAACTCCACTGTGTTTCCCCAATTAGAGCCAAGAGGTACTAGAATGCTTAGACACTTTAATAAGGGCTATGTACGTATGTATGTACAGCGACTGGTTCATAGCTATCACTACACACAGTTTTGCCACGCAAAGCTGAGGTGGGAGGGGATATTTTGTAACCAGAGCATGTTGAGAGTAAGGTACAATACAATAATACCAAGCTACAATGTAAAAGCTGCTTTATAATGACAAATAGCAGATGAAAATAGCTAAGAGCTCTAAATTTCAAAGGCTATACTTGATTTCTAGTCAAAATCACAATCATACCCGGCCCACTGACATTGTTAAGATTAATAAGAAAGATTAATTACATTCTTCTTCTTGCAGGCGATGAGCAAGGGACGCATCTTCACGCACCCTGAAATCCTGACAAACTGAAAAACAAAAATAACTCTGTCAGGACAATAAAGCGAGCATAGCCTATGTGTATGTTACAATCTTTCTGCATTGAAAATCACAGTGATCAGTTTCAAATGAAATTTTAGGTTTACATTCAAGTTTATATTTACGTACCCAGTTTGTTTTCTAATTTTGTCATTTCTAATTTAGGGCTATTATGCATAGGATAATAGAATCACATCAGGTTAAAATCATTTTAATAATTAGAAATTTCATTATTTTAAACTACAGCTGATGTACATCCATAATTGGGTGCAAGTTTTTCACAATTTGACTGCCAACATGCAAATAGATACAATCCCACATAGCTTTAAGGTATGGCTGCATTGGTTGCCATATATAGCAAGGAGAAAAAAATTGGGGGACTAAAATGGCAGCAAATTTGGTTACCTGTGTGTGACTGTCATGTGCCAAGTCAGCAGGCAAAGAAAGTCGTGTCCGATAGCCCGGGGCTGGTGGATTTTGCTACCAGGCTAGTGATTTTTGCTCTTAACTTGCCCGACGGGGTACTGTTTTTCAGGCACATTCAAATTACAGAAGGATTGTAATCAATTCTGCTAATAAAAAAGACTTTTGGGGCTATAGTTGAAATGACTTGTGGGCTGGTACATGCTAGCTACAGCTTGCCCGAGTGGCAGGCTGAAAAACTGACTTTCTTTGCACCCTGCAAGTCAAACTATTAATTTTTATTTTAAGTCATGTTTAAGGTCTTTATAAAGTTAAAGACACATGCAGGTAATTCAACTTTCACTGGCCCTGATGCCCAATTTAGTTTGCAGACAATAAAATAAATATATTAACAGATTAATTCCATAGCTTTCCTTATAAGGGTGCAAAGAAAATCAGTTTTACAGCTTGTAGCTATTACTATGTGTAGCCTGCTAAAAATAATATTTTTGAAAAATTATTTTGATGAGCAGGATATTGATAATCAATTTATTATTATTATTATTTATAATTAATAACACTAGTGGTGAATAAATTACTGGTAGTTTTATTTATTCATTGTAATAATACATGTAATTGCAATGATTTCATGTTGCCAGATCAGCTTGAAAAAGCTTTTGATGCAAATGAATTTGTTAGGAATTGAAACCAGCAATTTGTTTTGCAGTAATTCTGTAATTCGAATTCCTCAAAAAAAAAAAACTTCACTTGTCCATCCAGCAAGTCAGAAAAAGAATTGACCAGCCTAATCACAAAATCCACTAGCTCCAGGCTATCCGACACTACTTTGTTTGCACACAGCTCAGCTTTGTACACCGTGGGTTTCATTAAAAACTGGAACCTGGGTACTACCATCAGTGTACTCTAAGCACAGAACATGTCTTCAAGCCCCCACAAAAAGTCAATGGTCCAGTTTCGAATTTGCTATGACCGCTGAATAAAAGAAGTGAAGACTGATGCATTTTTTACTGGGTTAGCTGCCCTCCATCTGAAATAATATATATTCCCAAATTCCAACAAGAAGACCTGTTTATAACTCTGTCTATTGGGTATTTTCAAATTTCAAACACTTACTTGCTGAAATTTGTGAATATTTTACTTTATGTTGAGGCTACAAACCCTGTGTGAATGTATCGTTAATATCTGTATTCAGAAGTGATTTTTAATTCGAAAAAGGACCATTCTCAAACCAAATTTCTATCTTTCTCTACCTTATCAATCTTGGGCACCCTTCTACTTTAAAAATAGTGAAAACCTGGTTGCACTATACAATTACCCACTATCACATATATTTTGTACATAATATAGCCCAACAGTGTTAAAACAAGATAAGACAGTAATACAAATCACATTGTTTTTTTTTTAAAAAAAAACTTCTACTGTGACAGCTTTATTCTTTTTCAAGATCCAGATTTAGGAGAAACTGCAAACTTTCACAACACGAAACTAAACGAGAAAATTATCTTCCAAAAAAATTGCTAAACAAATTTAGTCGTATCCACCGAAATCAGCTGTAAAATTATAGCAAACAAATTAGCAGAATTAAGTACTAAATTGATCAGGAGTGAAATTTCATATCATGTTTTGAAAACAGCTTTTAAAATGTTTTTAAAACAGGGCTTGTCACTTTACAAATTATCTTTTGTAGCTGGACCTCATAGGGAGCATACATGTTGGAAAAAAGAATATTCTCAATTCTAATTTTCTCACGTTTTTCAATTGACCTTGGCAGAATAAATAATGAGCAAACAAAAGATCTCGTTTCGGCTTACCTCACACAAACGAAAGTGTGAAAATATTCAGTTTACTTTTAATGTTAAAAGCTCCAAAATTTGATTCTAGGGAAGAACATGTTTTCTGTTTTTTTCTGTCCGATAGTTAAAGAAACTAGATTGTTTACAGAGTTGATCTGTTTCATTTGGAATTTTTGTCTAGTAACTTTTAAGTCTGCTCTGCTAATGCAAGCAACAGCCCGCCTAGTACAGAGTAATTTCGGGTTGGAAAAAATGTCTTTCTTTTAAAAACATATCTCACCTATAATAATTTTACGAACGACATCTAATAATGAGCAGACAATGAGATTTACAAGATCACGACCTGGATCAGCACAAAATTCGTCAAAGAACGAACTATTTTACTTGAAAGTAAAGATTATTCGTTTATGTGACAGAACAGCTCAAATATCGATTTACGGATTCCATTTTGCCGCAAACGTATGATACCACGCTTAACCGACAAACAGACTCCAGCTAGGTGGGCCTTTTGAACAAATGGGTAAGTAAAGTAAATGATGCTCACTTGTAAGATGCTTTCACAAGAAGATTACAGACAGCATGTGGGGAAATTGTACCATGCCAGTAGTCTCAAATTCACAACGCTACAGAATAAATTCCTAACTTAATATCTACTTTGCTTAGCAACAACTCCGAGTTCTGCAATGATCTTTAACGCAATTTGTTTAACAAAAGAGATTAAAGCGACGCGATGAAATTTTATTTGAAAGATGTGATCAGTCAAAGATGGCGGCCGCTAGCTGACATTTGAGAACACAATGGGATCTCGTCTCTTCTTCCATTAAAAAATAACTGTTGCAAAAATGCGATACACACGCCCGAAGCTTCTAAGAGCCACTCAGGTAAAGTTTATATCGGTTTTATGGTCCACGATTTTAATATGAACAGCAGTAAACTCAACGCAGGTAATATAACTGTCTGTCTAAACTTCGATGCCCCTAGATTTTATATGGTAAATTTGCCGACGATTCAAATGATTCGATGTCCAAGGTGTATAATATTATGACATTTTCAGTGGAAAACTTGAACAGTAGATACGACAGGAATTTTTTATTTAATGTGTTATTTCCTCCACTCTGTGCAAAATAAAAGAAAAATCTACTGGAATAAATGGCCCTTTGACAAGCTAAAATCAAGCGATCGCTACCCTTGGTCATGTGAATTAAACAACGTTTTCAAGAGTGTTTCTGCCCATATTCACAGCAAGATCTTACCTTGACGCACAGAAGGAATCTTCGCTTCGTCTATATCAGCCATACTTTTTAAGACAGGTATAAACTGGCATAAAATTGGATCAAATTTTTAGGCCATTGCGATCAATATCAATCGGTTTACTCAGAAGCCGTTTCCTGTTGTTATCCGGGACTTCGGTAGTTTAGCAAATAAAGATTTTTGATTGGATGAGAAAACAATTGCTATTCACACCGAAGACAATCGAAGACATGTCACCGAAGTGGCGGAAATCCAAACACGGCTTGCGAAGCGCAAAGAAAATAAATAATCGCTCCATTGCACCATTTAATTGCTACAATAAACGTGCCAAAAAATATATTTCACAAGCACCCAAGTCAATCAATAATCAAGAACGTTTAAGACTCCAAATTTGTGATGAGTTAAAAATAATTCCGTGTGCAAAACCGTTAATCCCCCTAGGCGATAATGCAATGGGAAATAAAATTTTCGACTTGATTTCTCGACGTGGTTCTGAAATTTTTAATAGGGATTATTATTGAATCGAAGCTGTTCCCAGATTAACGAAAGATGTAAAGAAATTTTGAGAGTGTGAAGATATTATTCCGGGTTTAGAAGACAAATCGGC